AAACCTCACACAGTTGGCCTCAGCCCATCGGTCCAGCCTGGACAGATCCTCTGCAGGGCCATCCTACCCTCCAGCAGATCGACACTGCCGCCCAACTTGGTGTCCTCTGCAAACTTACTGAGGCTGCACTCAATCCCCTCATCCAGATCGTTGATAAAGATATTAAACAAGGCTGGCCCCAAAACAGAGCCCTGGGGAACACCACTCGTGACCGGCCGCCAACTGGACTTAACTCCATTTACAACTACTCTCTGGGCTCGGCCACCCAACCAGTTTTTTACCCAGCGAAGAGTACGCCTGTCCAAGCCATGAGCTGCCATTGGAGCAGAACAGGCAGTACTATGGTTGTTGTCCATGAGTGTTTTACAGTGGATGATGTTATATCCCCTCAAGACCAGTGTCTGCATGAAACTCTCTGCTTGAGCCTCACTGCTGTGACCCCCCTGAGTAGATCTGGGGGTCTGTCTTGCTAGAGGGGTGCACTTCTGTCCTGTGTCTGTGTCAGTGAACCACAGCTGCAGCAGCATTTTTGTGAGGGATTTTGCAGAATATTTATTCACAGTATTTAGTGTAACTGAAATAGGAACTACTGAAGGAGGCTCACCTTTTTTGGCCTTCATTGCAGGTCACTTTCCTCCATGAGGAGAGAAGAACAGAGAGCCTGAAGGAAATAAAACGGGAGCCAAGTAACACAGGCAGAGTTCAGAGGAGATCTGCAAAGGTGGCAATCTACTATCTCCATGAGCTAGCTGGAGAAGAGCTGGCCAAAGAGTGGCCCAAGAGAAAGGTTCTGCAGGATTTGATTCCGGATGACCGGAAGGTACAAGGCCTTAAAAATGCCATATAGGGTTTGAGTCTTTTTTCACATCAGATGAGTCTTGCACTAGCATCAATCCACTGTTGCCAGTGTTTAGTGGCCCATGAAAAGCAATATGGAAGAAGTAATGTCTTGTGGGAGGGACCAGGTTTTGCTCTCTCTGGTCTTAGATTACAGTATTGCTACAGTAGTAATTGCTGTGGTGTATTTTATCCAGGCAGGCTATAATGACTGTCAAGTCCTATTGCTGTAATTTTCAGTGGGCACAAGTAACGAAGACAGTTATAGGCAGTATGTTGCTCACAAGTCATAGGCTGCAGATCACTGCTGCCATGCAGTGATATTTCATAGTTTTTCAAGCTTCAGAGTTTCCAGGAGCATCTTTTAGGCTGTAAGGGAAACCCAAGGAAAAAGGATAATTTATGATTTTAATGTGGTAAGTACATTTAGAGGAATTGTTGTAGTCAAAGTTACGGGAAGTTTTAGATTCTGGTGTTGTGGGGGTTTTCCAGATTGAGTTATTTTTTTAGAGAGTCAGTGAGATAGGAGAAGATTGGTTATTGAGAGTTTGGCTATTAGAGTAGGAGAAGAAATAGCACTTATGTCTCACAACCTGGGAGAGAAATGGACATACTTGGCCCTATGTATAGCCAACATTGCTTCCAGCTTTCAATTCCATCTCTTTTTTCTCAGCTGAAATATACTCGTCCTGGACTGCCCACATTTAGTCAAGATGTGCTGTGCAAGTGGAAAACGGAGATAAAGATGTACCGAAGAGTCCACTGCCCAAATCAGGTAATCCTTAAGTGTTTCTGAAGGCTCAAAGGGGACAGATTTCAGGTCTGTATGAGCCAAACAGCTTTCCACAACCTTGAAACCACAGTTTGTCTCATGGGAGACAAATTCTGCTGCATCTCAGTATGGTTGGTTAGTGTAACCAAGACCCTGTTTGGACTGCTGCCCTAGGGATGATCCCTCTGGGGATGTTTTTGTCCACTTCAGAGCCAGTAACTTGGTGTCAGGCTGGTACAGCTTTCACATCCAGCTGGGAGCTGGTCCATTTGAACGTTTGAGCAGTGGAAAAATGACAGGCCCCTGCCTGTCCCGCAGGTGTACTAAATCTAATTACAGAAGAAGGGAGGAGTAGAGATGGAAATGTAAGAGTAGAGGGACTTCGTCTGGCACAGCACTTAAGTTTTCTTTTGGAAGCTGGAAATGGGCTACAGAAGAGTCATGCATGGCGCTGTCGTCCTGGTCTAGGGGTGCTTATGTACGTGCACTTAGTTTCTTACGATCCCACACAACAGTCACCAGTCAGATCCAGTGAGAAGAAATGGCCCCATTGGTGGAAACTATGACAGATGTGACGCACATGATGCACACTGCTGGATAGCCAAGGGTCAGTGGTGGCTTCCATCTGGGTTTGGTGTAAAGACAATACCTTCTCCCTGCTCTACCCCTCCTCCAGCACTCTCTCACCAGTTTTCAGGCTAGCGTCATTTCCAAGTGTAAGAATTGCAACATAATGTTGTATATGGAGCTGCCTCCAGAAAGCAGCTGTCCTGTTTCACTGACCAGTAACCCAGAAGCATGTCTTGCACCTACCTCCTGTTTCAGGGTCTGGGCTGTCGGCTGAGCATGATCTAGTATCCCGAGACTGATGCCTAAAGCTCCCCATGGGATAGGCCTGTAAAGCTGTCCTTCAACTGAGACCATTGACGTCAGATGCAGTACTTCTGCTCTGTGCCACTAGATACGAGCAGGGGAGGAGAGATTGAAGTGTCTTGTACTTGCCCCTGTGCTTTGTTTGAAATTAATCTCTGCTGCACTTCAGGCAAAATGCAAACTCTATGATTTCACTTGGGGTTTTAATAGAGGGTCAACGTAACTGTGACAAGAGTCTATTATGTCTAAATGTGCTCAGAAACTGGAAATACTTAACTTACTGAAAGCTTAAGTCTCTTTTAATGGTCTTTTTACTAGAAGCTTTCTGGCTTTGTAGGACTCAGTATCTCCCTCCCTCTACCTCTCTTATCCCTTTTGGAATTGTCTTCCAGAGAATAAGACTTTCTTGTGCAGGAAGAAGTGATTTCTTACTAGAGTTTTGCTGACATGCACTTTTTTTACTGTTTCAGGGTTGTGAATCTGTTTATGGCAGTGTCTCAGGACTCAAATCTCACCTCGGCACATGTACCTTGGTTGGTAGCCTTCCTGTACTCACTATCTTTTAGTCTGACTGTCCCTGTCCCTCAGATATCTCCTTATGCAAGCTGTTGTCCTGCCATCTGTTAATCTGAATTCCTCACAATTTGAGTGCTTCCCTCTATGCTAATGGGGTTGCCACTGCAAACACTGCTTGAGGCAAAGAGGAAACATCTTAATGGCATGCATTTTAGTGAAACTGCAGTCCTACCTGTAGATTCACAGCTACAGGAGCATTTTTTCCAGCTACAGTGCTGGAGACCTTGTAACATCTCACAGAGCAGTCTGATGCTTTGTGGGCATAACTGGTCAATAATGTCAGTGCTCCTGTAGCTAAAGCATTGTCTGGTATGAATAAGAGTTTCTACTTCTTGCTGCTGGGTTATATCTGAGGAAGATTAAAATACAATATATAGGTGTATCAGCTTTCTAGGCAGCAATTGGTGATGGACTTTTTTGTTTTGGTGCCAGGGAGACTTTGTGGCTGGTAAATACAAGTGTCTCCTGTGTGAGAAGGAGTTCATTTCAGAGAGTGGGGTCAAGTATCACATCAACTCTGTGCATGCTGAGGTAAGGCAGGCAGAATGGAAGTCCTCAAACACCAGGTTTTTGGAGGTGGGGAGGGTGTCTTGGGAAGGAAATGCTGGATGCTTGCCCTGTTTTATTTTTTCCTTGCTCACTGCTGGGAGCAGGGTCCCAGACTCAAGTGGCCTTTGATTTGCTTAAACATAGCTGGTCTTATGCATTGGTCTGGGGAGCAGGAGTTGTGTTGTGTCACACGTCTTGTCCCAAGCTGCTGCTGATCAATTCAGCTCTTCAGCATTTCCTGTGCCTTTAGCCAGGCAATTGCCAAATCAAATCTGAATCCTCTGAGACAGTGACACCTGAGGAGGAACATTGACAAACAGAGCTTTGTTAGGCAGCTGCCTTTCCAGATCTCACATTTCAGGAAACCTTTGTCCCGCAAGGCAGCTTTATTATAAGCCCTGATAGGCTTTATATGGTATTTCCACCATCAGTACCAACCTGTTGTCTTCTAAACCCTCCAGGACTGGTTTGATGTGAACACAACTACCACCAAAAGCTTTGAGAAGCTAATGAAAATCCGCCAAAGAGAAGAGCAGAGGAAGCAACGGAAGAAACGTCCTTTGACCCGGGGCAAAAAGAAGAGAACTGGGACCCTGGCTGCCAAGAAGCTCCCCACTGCTGGAGTTGAAAAAATGAGGAGAAGTAAGAGAGGACGTCCACAGCGGGTGGACAATGAGAGTGCAAGTAGTGAGGAGGGGGAGCCCCAAGTTGCACAGAGAGCTGAATTTCCAAAAACCAGCCGCAAGAGAGGCCGGAAGTAAATCCCTAGAAGAAGAGAAGGAGTAATCCTAAAGCTTTTCAGTTACAAGCCCCACTTCTGTCAGGCTCATAACCCACAGCACTAATACAAGCCACTGAATGTCTTTGGGACTGTGACTCCATTCTGCTCGGTGACCTTGACTTTGAAACTATTGCCTCTGGTCAGTTGTGAGAGATTTGAAACCAAAGCTGTGGTACAGAGGCTGCCTCTCCTGGTGTAGTTTCCTTGGACAGTGGCACTAGCAATGTACCCAGTGTAGTTCCTGCTCCGATTACAGTCTCAGTTTGGGTCACATTAGTTGCTTGTTTAGTGGTTTCCAGTACAGCAGCTGTCTGTTTTGTCATCCTCTGATGGGTGAGATCAGGGTTCTATTTTAGTAGTTCTCCCTATAAGGGACTGACTAGCACAGTGTTTAGGTCTCTTTAAGGGGGGAATCCTTTCTTGCACAGTATGCACACAAACTAAGCAGCGCCGTGCAGAATACAAAGGCTTTAGCTTGCCCTGTAACTGTCCTGTCTGTTGTCAGCGAGGCTGCCACAGAAGGGCAAATACCTTCCTAGTGTGTGCTCCAGTCTGTTGCACAAGGCACTGTCTCTACTTCATACACTGATGTTTAGGCTCAGCACCAGGCAGTAGCACGAGCTGCTTGGAAGTGACAGGACATCATTATTACCCTCGTCAGGAACCCGGTATTCCCCCAGCATCTGTATTCTGTAGCAGTGGGCATTGAATGTATGAAGAGGGTCTTTCAGTCCAGTGAGGAATAAATACTCTTCAGCCTTTTGGAGATTCACTGGCCTTTCAGAGACCCCCAGTAACTAATGTAATAAGATGGCCTTCGTGGGCCCTCTGAAGACCACTTGTTTCAGACTCACCTAGGAAACAAACTTGCTGCAAGGCAGTGCATACCTACGATAGCAGTCTTGCTAATGCTGAAACCCAGGTTGCACTCAACTGCCTTGCCAGTGTGGTGTTCTTCGTTATGCCCATGCTCCCATAATGTCCTTTTTTCCTGCACTGTAGATGCCACCTTTGTTGTCTTATATCACCTGTTTCTTTTCAATACTGCTTCCTTTGTGCGAATGAGGTATATTAGCAGTGGCTTCCCTGTGTGGAAAAGGTTAAAAGAAGAGGGTTCATTATTTTAAGTCACGTGTTGGCGTGAACGCTGGATCATGGAGAATATCTTCCTGTGCTCCATAAATGCAGCAGATATCATAGAAGCTAGTAGGAAGCAGCAGCACAGGCACTGTCTTTCAGAGAATGGGTTCTCCAGAACTTCTGTTATCCAAAGACCCACTGTACCAGGAAGTTGCAAAATTCGACCTTTTCCTTGCAGTTTTGTGGGCAAGAAAATAGACAGCTGGCTCCGTGTTACTTCCCCGCGAATTTTCACTGTCTACCGAAGTTGCTGGTGCTGAAATTCACAGGGAAGCCATTGCAGTGCCTCATGAACAGGTGGGTTTATACGTATGTGTTATTACCAGGATAATCACGTTGGCCCTGACAGCGGCAAGTGCCGTATGGCCAGGGTGTTCTCAAGAACTGCCTCTCCCATATAATGAGCCAAGCAGACCCCAGCTGAGCATGGTCTGTCTCTTGTGGGGATTCACACCTGTATGGTAGTGAGGCAGCATGCAGTGCTCCATTGCGATTTACGTGCAGTAGTTACACTGCCTTTTGGAACCAGCTGTCACTGTGGTTGCAGTGCTGCGCTGAAAGTATAAATATGTGGACTTCTGTGAGGGTGTCTAAGGTTTGCAGTCAGAGGGGCAAGATCAGAAGACGACAAAATAAAATGTCACCAGTGCGAGAATGTGCTTTCTTGTCTGTTTGGTGTGTAGTGGTCTTGGTGCCATCCTTACTTGCACAACACACTCCAGCTTGCCCACTTGGTTGTCCTGCATGCTCTGGTGCTGTTCAGTTGTCTGCACCATTTCTCCTCAGTGCTCTACTCTACACAGCTGTACTTTGACCGTACATGTTTACTACCTTCCCACCCAATAGATGGGCAACACGATAAACCCATGAATTAAAGGAGGTTTTTCTTAGTGGATTTCAGTCTAGAGTCCTGTTTACTGTCATTTATGAGTTACTAACCAGACCTGCTTTCTAGATGTGGATACATTGTGACCACCTAGATTTTGTAGAGTTACATCAACAACATATTCCCCCACATAACATGGCATGTGGAAAAAAAAAATAATTATGCAACAGTCCATTCATGCTCCATCAGTGTTACAGCAGATCGTTTGCTGGATTGGTTCAAGCTGATAAGAGGTGGTGGCACTGCTGCACCAGCACAGTCCACTGCTTTTGAGGAGTATGATCTGTTCAGGAGCACTTGCATCCTGCTGTAGATGGACTAAGGCAGGCTACCCAGTATGACTGCAGCAATGCTCTGCTGCTCTAAGGGTGTGGGAAAATTTAGCCTCAAGGAAGGTATTTTAATTGGGGAATTCTCAACATCATGTGTATCCAGGGCTATAAGTAACATAAAACCAGCTAATTGTACTACAGGCTACCGTGCTAAGATTTACTGTTCAAGCACCCATGAGTCTACTGTTCAATCCATTGTTAAGAGTTCAGTTAGCCTAACATTTTGTAAACCCAGGTCAAAATTCTACCTTATAGAATCATAGAATAGTTTGGGTTGGAAGGGACCTTTAAAGACAATCTAGCTCACCAATCTTGCCACAGGTAGGGACATCTTTCACTAGATCAGGTTGCTCAAAACCACATCCAACTTGACCTTGAACACTTACAATGATGGGGCATCTACAGCTTCTCTGGGCAGCCTGCTCCAGTGTTTCACCACCCCCATTGTAAAAAATTTCTTCCTTATGTCCAATCTAAATCTACCCTCTTTCGGTTTTAAAACCGTTGTCCCTTGTCCTGTTGCTGCAGGCCTCTGTAAAAAGTCTCTTGCCATCTTTCTTACAAGCCCCTTTTATATACTGAAAGGCCGCAATAAGGTCTTCCCCAAAGAGTTCTCCAGGCTGAACAACCCCAGCTCTCAGCCTTTCTTCATAGGAGAGGGGCTCCAGCCTTCTGATCGTTTTTGTGGCCCTCCTCTGGACCCGCTCTAACAGGTCCATGTCTTTCTTGTACCATGGGCCCCAGAGCTGGACACAGGGCTCCAGGCAGGGTCTCACGAGAGTGGAGTAGAGGCGGGGAATCCCCTCCCTCGACCTGCTGGCCATGCTTGTTTTGGTGCTGCCCAGGATATGATTGGCTTTCTGGGCTGCAAGTACTCATTGCCGTCTCATGTCCAGTTTTTTGGTATCCCCAAGTCCTTCTCTGCAGGGCTGCTCAACCCATTCATCCACCAGTCTGTATTGATATTGGGGATTGGTCTGACCCATGTGCAGGACCTTGCACTTGGCCTTGTTGAACTTCATGATGTTCACATGTGCCCATTCCTCAAGCTTGTCACGGTCCCTCTGGATGGCATCCCTTCCCTCAAGAGAATCAACTGCACCACGTGGCTTGGTGTCATCTGCATACCTGCACTCATCCCCCCTGTCTACATCATTGATGAACCTATTAAATAGCATTGGTGTCAACACAGATCCTTGAGGGACACCACCCATTGACCCAGCAAACTTCACCTTTGTCTTATAAATTCTATTTGAGCAAGTATTTAGAAAGAGATCCAGTTTGGGGGTGGGGGGCAGGGAGGAGAATTGATAAAAGCGACCAGCTAGTCACTCAATACTTGTTCCAGTGATTCATTACACTAAAAATGATGGGTCTTCTCATTTGAACTCTTTTTAATTTCAGCCTCTGCATCTCATATTGCTCAGTCCTGGTAACTTACATAGCTTTATGGTATCAGAAATTTCTTCCTGCATATTTGTAGTCATAACTAACTAACTCCATACATAATTTGCTGTATGAACTAGAGAGACTTGCTAGTTTCAGTCAAAACAGTTTTTTCTTTTTGTTGTTGTTGTTGTTGTTCTTTGCTGACATTTCATATATTGATGGGTGTATTTTTGGCTTTTGAAGTCCAGAGACATGAACCAGGAACCAGTTGTGGTATTCTGTAATAGTCTGGTTTAAGTAGAATACAATGCTAATGTTGCTCTTAGCTACCTCTTTATTTCCTCATCAGTTGCTTCATTACACAGTTTACATTCAGTTTACAATTTACCCTCTTAAGCACATTTTTCAATTGCTCTGCAAATGCATCTGAGGGCCCTTTCCTTTGTTTCTAGAAATTCAAGTCAACAGGATTTAAGGCCAGACAGCACATGATGAACTCATCTGTCCTTTCTAAAACATTATGATATATTTCACAGAATTACTCTAGCAGAGACCTTAATAACTGTATTTTTTGTTGAGCAACTTTTCCAGAAAACTTTGCTGTATAATCAGTCTTTCCATTGCTTTCATTTGTCATCAGCTTTTTTAATCTGCAGATTTTCTTTGCAATTGTTTTATAATTTCATTAACATTCTTGATAAAGATGCCAAATAGCTGCAGACTGGGATTCTCTAGGACAGACAAATCCTTATTTACAATTATTTACCGACTAGCATTTAATGTGGTCCACCAATATTTGTGTAACGTGTGGGGCCAAGAACAATGCCTTACAGAAATTTACGATGTCAATAGCTCCTTTTACCAACCCGGACTTGTAATTAATTAAAAAATAATGTTTACAGAAAACTGTTCTCTGTGAAACCGTGTTGGTTGGGTTTACTTATGATATCCTTTGATGTCAACTGTTCTGTTGGTTTGCCTGGGAGATTTCAGACTGATAAGCTGTATTTACGCTAACCACGCAGCTTGTCATTTTTTAAATACTGACACAACACTAGAGGTTTTGGGTTGGGTTTTTTTTTTTCTTGGAAGAGGAGAGAGAATATCTTCTTGTTTTGGGGGTTGGTGGGTTTTTTTTTCTTTTCTTAATCCTCAAGGATTTCCCCATTGTTCCAAGAATTGTTAAAAGCCATTAATAATAATTCAGAGAGCTTTTCAGGAGATTACTTACCATCTTTCCCTGCAAGTTACCCAATGCTGTACCTTTAGAGATGTTTAAGCTATTTTAATGATGCCAGCATGTCCAAAAAAACCTGAGCTGTTCTGTCAAAGTTTGCAGAACTGTGAAACGGGATGCACAGAGACAACAGCAGCAATTTGTCATTCCTGCCTGCACGAAACAGCCGGACTGCTGTGTGTGGCACATGGGAGTGAAATCATGGCAGCATATAGCATACACTTCACCATATAGCTGTATCAGTATGGAGTACATCTGACTTGTTTTTTAAAATCCCCATTGG